AACCCGCTGAATATCACCACTGGGTGCATGCAATAATAGTTTAGCAGAGTTTCGCCATCCATCATGAAGCACACCGACAAACGATATACAGTAGACTCCCCTATAAAACAGGTTCATATAATATTGATTCCTATATAACAGCGAAAAATTGCGATCGTACTTTTATAAACACGCTAAAAGATACTCGTATAATACAGTAAAACGTCATCGCCGACTCGTGTCGCGACAGGATTGGTCAAATCTAGACCAATAGCGGATATCGCACAAACCGTTGCTTTTAAACGAGCAGCGGATCTACTAAAACCCTTTTATTATTTAACGGCCATAAAAATTATATTTATATTAATCATGTCTCCAAAGTTCAGGATATTTTTCGCAGAAAAATAATTTATTAGGAAACATGCACCAGCCGTTCGATGCGCTACATTGCTACGAAAACAAGCTTAAGCAGTAGCGTCGTCGAACGGTGCACGCTCGGTAAGTAATTCTACAATTTTTTGTTTGTAGAATAGCTTATACAGATTATTCCCAAAAAATTATACGTGTTTCGGAAATGTTGAGTCAAATTAGTCTAGAATCAATTAATTTTAATAAAGAAAACCTTTCAAACAGCCGTAGTTTGTAAACTGCATACGTGACAGGCTGTGATTGGCTCATGTATTTAATTAAGGACTCGTAGAGCGTGAATTTTATAAAACACGAAACCTATCTACTGTGTTATAGGAGTCTACTGTATTTACTCATATTTTAAGAATTAAAGTTTTAGGAATGAATAAAGGAAAACATTTTTATATAAAAAATATGAAAATTATAAACTAGGATTTATGTTGGCTGAATTAGTGTTTATTTACTTGAGGAATGATGGATATTTTACTACGTAGATCTCGAAGACCGATTTCTTCAGTGTCAATTCCATCGATGGTGATTGTTCCCGTTGGCTCCGTCATGCGAAATAACGAAGCAATTATTGAACTCTTTCCAGCTCCTGTTCTCCCGACAATTCCTATCTGCAATTAATAAATAATTAAGTAAACATTTTACCCAATAAC